TTTACTAATTGCACTCAGTTAACTTAGCTATAAATTAACAGATAATCTTCACAGATGAAAAGGTTCAAAATAACCTGTTTTGAAGAATGCTTTGACAGAATTTGTTCTATTGTAATCAAGAGGATGATTAAGAAAATTAAAACCAGAGAAAAAAGGGCTAGAATTTGACCTTCTCAAGTTGGTATGGACTGGTAATACCAGTTTTTACAGCTATTCCCTCACTAAATGTGCAGGTATCTATATAAAACAGATGGGAATGCTCTACCTACCAGAATTTGCTGATTATTCTTATTTCATTACAAGCCAACATTTTCCTCTTCTTCTGTCACTGGAAAACCATACATTGTTTTGCTAATTAGYGAGGTATCATTTAACAGTGTACCATGCATTTGCATACAGCACTCCCAAAAAAATGCTGGCAATAAAAGTTACTTTCTTCTTCTTTGTACTCCTTTCATTTTGTATTTCACTTCTACTCATTCAAAACCTTTTTATAAACAAAGAAACAAAGCTTGAACAGTCTACATAGACATCACAGTTTGATCTTTTCATATCAGCTCYTAATAAATGAGAAATGTAGAAATGAGAAAGTAACGTTGACAAATACGTGACCTACTTCAAATAGCAGCTTTGCAATTATCACATGAAGAAACRTTCCTGCAGCAGAATAAATTCTGACTGTATCTAGGAACGGAACCCAGCCAAGAATTTTGGGCCAGGTCTCTGAAACAAGTTTCTCATTCTAATATGCTGAATTTCTTGATTCTCTCAAAAGAGAAGGACAAAAATGCAAGTTTTATGCTTCTAGGGCTGCTTTTGCTTCTGAAATAGGGCTTGTGAGACAGAACCATTTCATCAGATATGCACTGCAAAGAAAGATCTGAAGATACTTCTAGAAGAAGGTGTAATTCAAATATAACTTCTTCAAAAGTAGAAGAGAAAAAATTAGTATCTACATATTAAATTCCCGAATTTCCATTCTCAGCTGTTTAAAGGAAAAATGTAGCCTTCTTAGACAAATTATATGTCTCTCACAGTCAGAGAACAAGGCGTGTATAAGCAGTAACAGCTACATTAAGGTCCTCTCCAGTGGAGACAGACTTTCTAACTAAGAGATAAACTCAGTGAATACTTCTGAGTACCACAACAAGATGAGAGAAAAACTGTATCCTCCTTTACAATGAATGACAGACTGAACTTACTGAAAATGTACAGATTTTCATGGACTGAAAATAAAGATTACCTTCAGACATTTGCTGACATTTTTCCCGCATACATGAATATGAGTACAGAACTATTTTGTGATATGAAACAGACCAAGAACCTCTGCAGAACTGTCTTTTTAATTTCACGGCCCTATTATACTTGGGACAAGAAGACATAATGAAATTATACGCATTAGAGAAAGATCCAGTACTCTGACCGATCAGGTAAAAATGAAAAAGAAAATCATCCACAGTGACAATTTCAGCTGCAAGTGTGGATTGTGACAAGCTGATGATACCAAAATGGCCACAATTTTGTCACCTTCAATCTTTAAGATTTACAGTTTGAAGAGAACTTGAGGGATGTATACAAAAAAGCAAAGAGATCAATGTTAGAGAGGCATTTCCCTAAAAGCCCAGGCTGCCCTCTCCTGGAGCGAATCACCTTGCACATCTAGTGGTCTCAGTTCATGGTCAAAGTTACATGAGGAACATCTCACCAACAACAATCACCTGATTATCAGGTATTTAATTTTTCACTTGTGTAATCTTACAGAACAGCTATTAAACATATATTCAGATGAACAAGAAAATTACAGACATCTTTCCAGGACAGAGTTACAYACAGAAATGACTTATCTGCTCAATKAAGTGGTCTCAGTTTTAGTATAGTCACTTCCAGTACTCCTGTGTGTACTAGCTGACAGAACTGGGATGCACTGGGCTCCAATGTGAGGTGAAAGGCAATGCTCTAAAAGAGTGACCATTCACTCGGAATTCGAGAATGCTTCTCTGAAGTCAATGAYCTGGCTTCAGATAAAGCCCTGGGAACAGGTCACACCAAAACTCACATAGTCTGTCCTGCACATCCTGGAATGAGAGAAGTCTTCCCATCAACTTGTTGTAGGTTCTTCCACCAGTTAAAATTCAAAACAAAGGACAGAAGCTTTATCCTTCCTTCAGGCAATCTGGCATTATGCTATCTCCTGCCACCCATGCATGCAACAYACATGGTTGGTTTACTCTACAAGCCCATCTGACCCCAAAGCTGAAGCACACATTTACCATTATATGTGGCATGTTCTCCAAATAATTAATCAGAAATATTGTCATATGATGTCATTGGGATAATATAKAGGTGTGGAAGCATTCAGGGTTTTCCTATTTGATAGAAATACACTTCTTAAAACTGCAACCCCTGTTCCAATCAGTCGATGTGGGAATTAGCAAACACCAAGAGTAAAACTGTGATCCTCAAAGATAAAAAGGAATTTTYTCTAAGCCATCAACAACAGGTTCATTCCTCTTTGATATCAGACTACTGAGGTAAAGGTAAAATGATGAAGATTTTAGAATTAGAATACTGTTCTGTTGTATTAATCTCTCACTTTTATGTGAATGATAATGAATCCTTGCAAGTTTCCTGAAGAAAACATTAAAAGCACTGAAACTGAGTAGGGATATACTCATGCCTTATTTAGATGACATTTTCTGATTTAGAAATCCTGTAAAAAGCATTTTGATTGTTTTACTTCAATGCACACAAATCCTCAATTAGTATTAAAATAAACATCCTTTTAAGATGCCGATCTTCCATGAATTTTCAGAAGATTAAATTTAGGTCATATGATGAATTGACTTGTTGCCACTGTGGATCTTGAAAAGGAACAAGGAACCTTTCAGTGAAACAACAGCTAGCTGAARCAGAGAAAACTGTAGCAGAACACAGAATACTGTTTCTGCTGCTTCTGGCTGACCTTTATTAYTCAATGTTCAGCTTTTAACAKGCTAGMTAACAGACAAGCCTTAAAGACTTTTCCAAGAGAGGTGATTTTCATCTGTTCTTTCTAGATTTYTTATTCTCTTTCTACATTAGTACTCCTTGTCTCTTGCATTTACCAAAAGGAACAAAATTATCAAAATAAAATGTTGGTTTTCTTCATTCAGGCTAATATTGTGTCTAAYATGTGATCCTATATATTATTTAAATAATTCTAGGATACTAGCTGAGAATGGAGGGTGGCATTATAAATTTACTTTAATAATTTCATTTACTAATGGTGAATTAATGATTTATTTATGGCAAAATGCACTCTTAAAAAGCTCATAGAAGATGCCCTGAACTTCAGTCATTGTGCTCTTACTTTTTCTTAGCTTCCTAGGTAGASATAAGAGGAAATTCAGCTTTCACTTAATCCATAAATCAAATCATCCACAAACTAGAAACATAAAATTCAAAAAAGCATGAATTTATAGTCCCAATCTCAGACAAAATTAAATGAGTGTAGTCAATAGTAAATTTAAGCAAAGAAGATAAGAGTCAAGAAAATTCAGATATTATGAAGAGGTTTAACAGAACYGTGCAACAGTAGAAATTCTGAGAAGTTAATTATCTAATGCCAGTGAATTTTCTTTCTGTTTTCTTATCTTTACTTTTAAATATCAAGAAATATGTTGTATCATTCAACTATCCAGAATAAAATTGTGATTACTGAAGAGAATTTACAGTAGAAAAAACCACTAACAACAGAAAACACCCAAAACMTTAAAGAATCAAAAGACCCCAGAGCTATGAATAAAAGATACAATTCAAATTATTTCCAATTACGTTTGAAAAGACTTGCTTATATCCATGATATAAGCAAATTCTTTTCATTTCAAAGATAATGACACATATTATCTTTCTATTACAGTCCAAAAACTCAAAATGAATAACTTCTGATTATTTTAACCCTTTCTTCATCAAAGAAGATAGGGTTCTACTCCTATTTCAAAATAGTTCCCTAATAATATAGTTTTCTATTGATCTAGCTATGATTTTTTTATTTTTTTTTTTACATTTTAAAACATTACTTTTCAAAATTTTTCAACTCCACCAACTAGGAATGAAAGGGACTCATCTCATTTCAAGATCAATGCTACAGATGTCGATTGATAAGTCTGCACTAATTTCAACATTTATATTATTTTTATTTTACAGTAATCTACTCCTGTTTATATTTTAAACACCATGTCCTTTTAAAACTTGATCTACAGGTCAAATAAACTAGMTATCAAAGATATTTGTTTTAATACATCAGCTTTCCCACATACTATATCCTTCTACTACAATATTAACCTAAATAAAGCAACTTGCATATGGAATTTAAAGSAACAAAGTTAAATGCTTTGTTTATTGACAATTTCCCACTCCTGAAGTTTTGATCTGTGAAAAAGAAATATCTCAATCCATTATAAAGCATTTTCATAATGTAAAGCTCTATTTGCAGATTAAAACCATCCCCATTACAATCACACTATCACTCTATTCAATTCTTATCAACAGAGTAAATACATTGAAGTTTAACTTTAATGAATGCTATCACTACTGCAGAAAAAATCACAGGTTTCTTAGAAACCTTCTCTTTCTCATCTTTATTGGTGGTTACATGAGGATTTCTAACTACATTTTTTCAACTTAAAATTCTTATTGGAGTATATTGACCACACAATGAGGAAAAAAGATGTACAAATCACTGTAATTTCAAAAGCTACAATACCTAAATTCTAGACAAGTCTGTAAAAACCAGTTTTATTTCAAATATAATATTCAGAAAAGAAGGATGTTTCATAATACTGGTCATAAAATATCAGAACTCTTTGTGGAGTAGTAGGCAAAAAAAAATCAGGGATAATTCTGTGTATTTATGGCAAATGTATTTAACTATCAAAGACAACAGCAATTCCAACTTAAACCTAAAGACCTGAAGTTATATAAAGCTTTGTTGACAGACAAAGTAAACTTTTTTTCTATACCTGGAAGTTCTTTCTCTTCAAGACTGTATTCCAGAGATCCAAAGGAATAATTAGCTGGACTGATTGCAGGAGTAGAAATAAAACTTGCACAGCCAATGGTTGGGTTGATTTCAAAATAATTGTGGCTGTGATTCATTCGGTGAAATTCCAGAGAAGATACTATGGATGTACGTTGCTTTGGCTACAAGAAAAATAGAAGTTTGGCATGAAAAATACAGACTTTTTGTATAGTTTTCATTACTTGGCATTTAATAAACCTTTCTTTCTCTGTTTTTACTGTTTTCATTTGGCTCAAAGGTTATACTARTAAAAATTATTTCATGTGTCAAGCTGTGGTGTGTAGAGATAATTTCCTTCCAAAATCTGGATTAATCTTTATTAGAAATAAAGCATGTCTTAATTCTAATCAATTTAATTCAACATAAAATAGGCTTTTACGGCCTTGCATATAATAATTGCAATCATCTTTTGATAAGAAAGGGAGCTCTTCACCAGCTGCATTGCTGGGTACATCTTGCAAAACAATTAGAGCGCTGATGCCTGTATAATGAAATTTACTAAATAATACCAAGTGCCCATCACTCGAAAGCAACCCTCTGCTGTTTATTCCATTTATGAATATGCCTCAAATATTCAAAGACTGAAATGTCTGGAAGCTTAAGGGAAAAGTGTCATCTTCAAACACATACACGAAAATCAAACTTTCTGCATGAGCTTTCATGGAACAGTTAAAAAACTTGGTACTACTTTATTTCAAATATTTACTTTTGAAGTGAATCTCTGAGCAGACCACGCTTAATGGTTGTGCTTTGATTGCAGAGCAGTTTCAGACCATAAGAAACTAATTGCTTTTGGCTGGATCTATATCATCAGGTGTAGAAATGAAATATATATGGTGTGATCACCAGGTCAGCAACAACTTTTTCACTARGGACTTATTCCATTGCACAAGTACTACTTACTAGTACAGACACATCCTTAGTGCTCGATGCCATGGGTTACAAGCCACAGACCGCTGCTGGTTTGCAATGTCATGCTAAATAGTCTGCTGCAGCACTCATTTRGTTCCATACCCAAAATAGCCTAACACTTCAATGCTCCTTGCTGCTTCAAGATCAATGACCTGAAACACTAAATGCCTCCAAAACAGAGGAGGTCCCACATTCATGTTTATAGCTGTCTGTATATTTATTCCACAATAGTGAAAAATGTCTCAGCAAATGCTGCCCTAGAAAACTAAAGCTGGACAAAAATAGAAAAAAAGACAGTCAAAGATGCTTTGTCTTTTCATGTTCTAGCATGGGAGGTTTAACAGGTTAGTATATTTGTAAAGGTCAGGAAGTTGTTTCTTAATAGCATCAAGACTTAAATATTACCTTTGGGAGCAATAAAACCTTCCTTGGACCACAGAGGTATTGACCATCTCTTACCTAGAACTACCTGTTAAAATACAATCTATCCTAGTGGAGTAATTTTCAAMTTTGTTTTTGGCCTATGTAATTGTTAGGTTACAAGTCCTGTAAYGCTTGTGTTATAAATATGAAACCAGGTGGTTCTCACTAAAAATTCACTCTTTCTGTTGGAAATTGAATTTTGTCAGGYGGAAAAAATTCAATAGAACTAGGTCTGCATAATGTTGATTATTTCTTAAAGTTGTGTTAGGCACCGTGTAAATTAACTGTGTTCTGTTAAACTGAGAAAAAAGGAAATTTGGACGATCATCTGGAGGTCATCTATGGACTTATAAGGTGATTTACTTTCTTTAATAATTAAAACCAGTTTCTGCTTTGAAATCCTGACTCCTAGATCTAGTAATTTCATGGGAGAGTTCAATAAACAGGGACACATTCCAACATCAAACAGTGTGGTTGAAAGTCATTGTTTGGGATCTCAGCCAAAAAAACTCTCAGATCAGACCAAAAACATTGGTGTGTATTAATTTAATCTAAATGGCACCCTTTTGCTACACAACAGATTAATGAATGACCTAATTATTTCTAAAACTGAAAAAGATCTTTGGTCATTTAGAASCATGTTTCTGGCCCTTTCTCAAGCAATGGTGTCTTTGCAGATTTGCAGGACTTCAACTCCTGAGCTGAAAAGGGGACACTTCAAGTAACATGATGCATGATATCTCTAATTATTCTTAAACTAAGGCAGTTCTTGCCTAAATGGGCAGCTGGAATGATCCAGCTTTGTCTCCCAAAGCAGTTCCAAAGGCACCTGCCCTTGGCTATTGTCTAGTCAGGCCTTCAGCTACTGTTTTGACTGTGTGCTCCTTTCCTGGAGGCAGAATAGCAGCATCTGATACACCATTTGGTCCTTTACTATCCAATTTTGGGTTTGGGCATTATTATTATTAATTTAGAGAAACATATCTCAGTTTAATATGTCTTTCCAATCTAAGGCTTCTGCAGAGAGCCTCATTCAGCCTCTAGAACATTACAGTATTACACTGCTGCTACACTGTTTGGAGTTAACAAGGTCCATCTGTCAACATGTGTTAATAATTTTTCTACATAATTAGACTGGAATCCAGCATCTAAGCCTTTGTAGCTAACTTAGAAAGTAGAGGAACTAGAGGAATCTTCTGCACTTTTGCAGCATCCTGTAAATCATTACATAAAATGTTAAAGTACACTAATTGTTCAYAAATATAAGGTATGAGAGACTCAGTAAACTAATTTGTACTGAGTGCATCTCTATGCCTTTCTCTCTAAAGTACCATTTGCACAAAAAATCCCAAAAAACAACAACAACACCATCAACAACAACAACAAAAAAAAAACCAGTAGAAATTAATCAATCTTCTTTCTACAGTCAGGATTAAATTCCATTCCAGATTTCAACAACTAAATTTACAGCATAGCTATTGACATTTACCCTACTTATTTAAGCTCCCACAGCAGTCAATTGAGATCTAGTCAATAAAATCAAGATCTAATCAATAAAATCAAGATTTAGTCATTACCATCAAGACAACAATTCACCTCACCCCAGTCCCCTTGGTATTAATTCCCCTGCCTTAATGCAGGTATCTACCATCACTGCASATTCCTTAGGACATCCCACCTGGCCTCCAGCTGCCGTTCAGAAAAGTGYAGGTTTCCTCTTTGCCTTGTACAACACTTGACAGCCTCCAGGTGCATCTCAAAGACACCTTTATAGCACCTCAAATGACATTAGAGTCCTAYTTTTAGGCAACTGAATTGAATCCTGCATCTGTCCTAGGCATGATAGAAGATTAGATATCTAAATCAGACAGACATTCTTATATACAGAAATGAAAGTAGAGGCGTTTCAGTCACAGATTCAATCCCACCTCTAGCTCACATCTAAACACACTCTAGAAATCTTAGAATCTGATGTCAAATTGCAGCTTTACTGGCAGTAGCTTTGCTTTGCASTTTTTATGTGCATCTGCCGAAGCCCCTGTTTGACTACATTTACCAAGAACTCTTGAGATAGATTCTGAAAAACTCTAAGATTATTTATTATATGGAACACCATAACTCAGGCAGGGGGTCAAGATTTCATAGTTGTCAAACACAAACAGAAAACTCTGTCCCAAAGAGATAATGCTTCTTTCATTCTTTGAAGCCAGCCTTGTTATTACTTGCCTTCCTTGTGCTACTCCAAAGGTCTGGACCTGCTTACATAACCCTTGTGAAATTGTGGCACACTTACAGCTTCGCTTGACCCCAATAATCACACTACATAGCATGCAGATTTGCCCTTAAGTAGATTTTTATTCATTAGATTCATGGGTTTAATTTACCTGTTATGTGCAAATCTATTTTATGACTGCTACTTACTTTTAAGACATTTCTTCACAGATATTATTGCAATTGTCATAATCCCAACCTAGAAAATCCTAGACTACCCTAAAACAGCATACCAAATCAGGCTAATGAATAACACTTTCCAATGCATAAACAAAAATATATCAATACAAATCTTTGAAGATATTCCAATAATATGATCTAAAAAACTTTTGAATCAGGTCTAACAAGACGTATATTTTCCTGTTCAGTCTTTAGCGAACACATATCAATGAAAGATACCCCTTTGTAACTGCAAAACCAGGAAAGCCATYAAATGTATATATGGAATTGCTTTTCAATTAAAAAGACAAGTAAGGATTTAATGGTTCCATGAATGGAATTTGCATGCAAATTCTGTAATGTTCTCACGACTGGCATGTAACACTACGAGCATGAAAGGGATCATTCAAGTATTTGTTACAACATTGAGCAGAGGCAGTAGGGCAAAAATTCCTTTTCCAATTTAACACCAAAATATTTCTTCAGCTTTGAAGTACTCTGCAAAACAAGCTTCTGATTTCACCTTCTTTTATCTTTGAGATTTATGTACATGGCATCATCAGTCTTTAAAAAATTAATTCTCAAAACACTCTGTATTATGGCAGAGCTAGCTGTCCCATTTTACAGATGCTGAACAAGGGTATAGAGCTTTCCCAGGGGACAGATGTGTGGTTTGTTAAATCACTGAGAACCAATGAGCCTAAGAAAATTCTGCACTTCTCAAAACCTGCCAAATTCCAGCTGCCCTACATAATGTAAAAACTGGTTTCACTTGCAATATATCATGCAGAAAATGTATGACAGAATAGAGAACTGCACACACATTCTCAAATTCCAGACAGCACATAAAATACAGACTTACCAAAGCAAGCAAGAGGCTGCAGCCCCTTTCTCCAGGGACATCTCATGTACATAACACARCGTACTTATGTGGCCACATAGATCCCTCATTTTGGTACCTGCCCAGATGACTCTGTTCTTTCCATTTTCTGATCAAGTCACTCCTACTTCAGAAACTGTCCTTCCTCCAGCTTCCTTCCTTCTGCAATCTTGTTCTATTTCTATACACTCACTTTCCCTTTCATAAAAATATAGAATGGCTTGAGTTGAGAGGGACCTTTAAAGGCCAATAGATCCAAACCCCCTGCAATAAGCTGGGATGTCTTCAAGTAGACCAGGCTGTCCAGAGCCCCATCCAGTCTTCCAGGGATTGGGCATCCACAACTTCTCTGGGCACCTCTTTTTCTGTTTTCTCCTATCTGTTGTTACATTCCTTCCAAAGCTACTTATGTTACTCTAAAAAAACCTTCACAGTATCCAGTTGATTACAGTTCTATTTGGTCTTCCAAAATTTGCA